CCCCAAAACCCCAAAACCCCAAAACCCCAAAACCCCAAAACCCCGAGATTTTTAGGTGAATTTGAAACTGTTAAAATAAAATAATTTAGATAATAAGTAAGATGGACAGATTGGTGAAGGTATCCTCTGGTGGGAATGGGGGAAGGAAGGAATTGATAGAGATAGAAGACTGAGACTTGGATATATCTCTTACTGATTCCTCTGAGTCGGTATCTCATTTGGATAATAGTTTAAATATGAAAAATAACGATTCTAATGCATCCAGTGAAGGTGAGAAACATGCAAGTTCTGAATTTTGAACTGGCTTGAAAAGAAAAGTTTCTAGTCGTAGTCGTCATAGCGGATTGAACATTACTTCAAGTTGATCTAAGGATCAAATGAAGCTTCAAAGAATGAATTGATCTCAGCAAACATCAGAAGACGTGTCTCAAATAACAGATTCTTCTCCATCTGAATTTGAAGGGAAATAAGATTCTGACTAATGCTATCCAAACAATTATTATAACTAACAAGTTTAAGAAGTCTAAGCATGTTGATCAGCCAAAACAGAAGATCAGTATTATGTAAGTCTATATCTTATAATTTTAAATATTCAAAATTTCTTCTAATTTTGTTCAGAAAAGATAAAAGGGAAAGACTATTGAAAAAATCAGGCCTCAATCACAGCTGCATAAAACCAACATATTTTACTAAAGTCCTTAGTAAGTTTATAACACCACACCAGTATTAATTACAACAGAAAACCTACCAAAGAGAACACACAGAAATACTACAACCCAGGTTCGAAATAATTCAAAACCTCTCAAAATCCCTTAAACTAATCTCCTCTAACCTTAACCTCTCCAAATCCCCCCAAATCCCCACTCCACCCCCTCCCCCCCTAACCTCCCTCTAGCCCACCCCCTCCCTCCACCCCCCTACTCCCCTCAAAAATCCCTTCCTCCCCTCCCCACTCCCCATTTCCAAAGTAACTCCTCCTCTAACTCCAGATAAAATTCCACTATGACCTGCACACCCGCCCTTCCAAGCCACCTGTCTTCCTCAACAACTGACAATAAAAGTAGTGATGTCGAGCATTAATAGGATCAGGCATAGGGAGAGAATGAGTAAGGAATTTGGGGGGATGGGGTTTTAGGGGGTTTTGGGGAGGTTTTGGATGTTTGTGGATAGAATTGAGGTAGATTTTGACTTATTAGTAAGTATCTTAATTTTTCAATTAATCCTGATTTTAGATAACCCTGTTAGAGCAAAGACTGAGAAAAACAGTGTTGGTAATAAATGAGATATATCAAGAATCAGTATAACTGGCCCTAAGAAGATGAAAGATGATAAGAAGAAGAGATGGGACCCTTATTCTTCACAATATGTTGCTAAATCACAACGAAAGCCTAATAGCCATTATCCTAGTAGCTGAAAATCTGGGTCTGGAAGGATGATGTTCAGAGGTATTAAATATGACACCTTTTACAAAATCAAGGAGAAAAAGGCTAATATCCAGAGAAAAATTTCATCACTAAATCAGAAGGGAGAACTGAAAAAGCATAATGGTGCTTTCCAGAGCAGATCGAAATCAATGACTGCTAATCACACTGAAATAGCCCATTTTTATAATAATATGAAACAAATACAACAGAGTAATTCTCGAAAATGAGTCTTCAGAGCCTTATGAGACCAATACGCTTGCTTTAAAATCCGAGATGACTCTTCAAAGATGACCAGGAGCATGCTCATTGAGCCAAATTTTGATAGTAGAGGGTCCCAAGATGTTAGAGCTACAGAAAACCCTGAACTTCTGATACACAAACCTCCAAAAAGCAACTATGGACTATTTAGAGGAAGTAGGTAGGGCTAAAAATTAACAAATTTTCAAACTTTGCTACTAAAATCTTCTCAATCCGCTCAAGACCAGAAGGGGTTTTGGGGTTTTGGGGTTTTGGGG